GGGTCTCAGTCTCAGGTTCTCCAACTGTATTTTCTCAGTTACACACAGCCCCCGTGGTTTTGAATAGGCCTTATGGTAGTGTGATTTAAGGGTAAGGTCCATCTCGTCAGAGGGCCTAGGTTCCATTCCTTGGACTCTCTACTACTTAACTGACTAGGCTACTTGGGCTAGTCCTCGTACCCATACAAGCCCTGTTCCTGTTCAACCCAAAAGGCATTTCTCCCCCAGGACCTCTGTACTTATTTGCATGAAACTTCCTTCATGGTAAAATCCCGTGGTTTGCTCGCATGTCAGCTGTCATTCTAAATATTCAGCCGTTTTCCCTGGCCAAGCTCTTCCCCTTTCCCTCTGTAATGCAGCCCTGTTGTGTCTGAAATTCACGTTTCTCCTCACCACTATCTGAAATTGTCTTATACCTATGTGTCAATGGTGATGCTTGGCAACGAATTCCACATTTACTCCGTCAGTTACTTCTTAAGCACTTATATAACTCTAAGGCAAAAAACTGTTCTTATTTCCGTTTTGCTGTTAGGGAAATTAAGGCAGAGGGTAAATAATGTACTGACATTCTCAGCTAGCCAGTGGCAGAGCCAGGAAAAGCACAATGGCTTTGAGGGTCCTACTTGAAGCACTGCTGCAGTGCCTCCACGTTCAGGGCGAACTCACCGTCTCGACTCCTGAATGCCCAGTTCAACAGTATTTGTTGAAGGAATGAATATTGCTTTACTATTGCTACATAAGATTAGGTAGATTTTTCTTTTAAGTGGTAGCTGTCTAAGATCAGTTTAAGAACTTGGATGGTATGGATCTCCCAGTTCAACAGTATTTGTTGAAGGAATGAATATTGCTTTACTATTGCTACATACGATTAGGTAGATTTTTCTTTGAAGTGGTAGCTGTCTAAGATCAGTTTAAGAACTTGGATGGTATGGATCTCTGAAGAATAAGAAAGTTTATGTGTATAATTTGAAAGGGGATAAAATGCTTAAAAGACTCAAATTGTTTAAACAGAAATGCATCAGAGAAGAATGCTCATAACTGTTTAGGCAAAGCTGTTGATAATCTAACAATCTGGAGGGGAGGGGATTTCCAAATGACTCCCAAAACTCCTCCTGCAGCTTGGCTGCTTCGGGAGCTTTGTGATTTCCCCGAGGTGTCCATTTCTCACCTCACTGGGAACCACCTGTTACCGCTTTGCTTCATTAGGGAACAGTTCATGGACACTGGTCTCGGCATCACTGCTTACTCTGTTGGCTATCGGATAGCTGTCTTGTAGTTTTGGAGCCATTTTTATTCATTGAGATTGGACTGAGCAAATTAAAGTTTGGACATTACGTAATTAGGAAACCAAATATGGATGAAATTAACATGATCGAAACTGTCGAGCCTTATAGTCTGGAACCCACACCCGTAAGTGACATTGCTAGTATGGCTGTCAACTCCCGAAACATGATGAACCTATTATGATTCATCTCTTTTTTCCCTAAATAACTAAGTAGATGATTTCAGTCCTGCATGTATACATGCATGGACACACACTTTTTAAAATTAAGTAAAATACACACAAACTTTTAAAATGCCTCTTCAGATTGTTGGTTTCTATTATAAGTGAACTGCACAGAGATTTTTTTTAAAGATTTTATTTATTTATCTTTAGAGGGGAAGGAGAGAGGGAGCGAAACATCAACTATGGTTGCCTTTCGTGCATCCCCTGCTGGGAACTGGCCTGCAACCCAGGCACGTGCCCTAATTGGGAATCGAACCGCAGTCCTCTGGTTCGCAGGCCCATGCTCAATCCACTGAGCTACACCAGCCAGGGCTCTGCACACAGAGATTCTTTATGAACATGATCAAAATGAAAATAATGGTGCTGAGGCTACTTACAGAATTTCGCATGGTAAATTACATTAACTAGAAGGGAATAGAGAAATAAAGAACTGTAAATTGTAAGATCAACATCTCTTTTTACAGGGCTGTGAACAATTCAAACTATGGTTGGAGAGCCCTGAGACTACTAGCACGGAGAAGTCCTCACTTCTTCCAGCCAACCAACCAGCAGTTCAAAAGTTTGCCAGAATATCTCGAAAACATGGTAATAAAGTTAGCCAAGGAATTACCAGTAAGTATTACAGATCAATATTTTAATACCCTTTCGTTGATGTTATCATTACTTGAGCAGAGCTGAATTTAGTTGATCATATGAAAAAAATCTACAAACTCCCATGTTTTAGAATGAGGAAAAATGAATTTGAGGATACATTTTACAGGAAGTACATAAACTAATCAACTATAATTCTTTTTTATACAGCCTGTAATTTAGTATAAGTCAGTAATACTTTTGAGTAAACTATTACCATTTTTCCTGTTTGTTGTTGCAGTATATTGTCTTTTATCAGAAACAGGGTAGCAGTAAGCAGTTTGTCCTTTATTTGCTCTTTTCCAATAAAATTTTCTCATTTTATTGCTACAGTATGGTACTAACTGTACATAAAACCTAATAAAATCATCCAAAAAATTTTAAGGACACAGTTGTTCAACCTCAAGTCTTTCCTAGACCATAGTTTCTACTATTACTATATGGTAGGGATTTGAAAATCATTATACCACCCTTTTCACTGGCTCCCTTTTTCTCAGGTTGTGGGGGGCAAAGGGAGTCTTTCCAGCTTCCGGGTCTTCCGGTCTGCTCCTGCAGATGAACACTGTCTCGTTTGTGGTGCTTACCTAGCATTCCCATGTAACACGCTGTGGGGTAAAATTCCGGACCCTGAACTTAGAATGTCAATCACACTTACAGATGTATCCCCAATTGTTTTAGAAGTTGGCGTTCTTTTAAACAATCTCCTTATTTTAGCCTCCTTCTGAAGAAATAAAAACAGGTGAGGATGAAGATGAGGAAGATAATGATGCTTTACTGAAGGAAAATGAAAGTAAGAATTGAATTTTCTTGGCTATTTTACAAAATTGGAAAAGATTGTGGTTCTTTGTTGAGAGGTACGTTATTTAGTTTGACATACTTCTCAGTTTCTACAGTGTATCTCAGCTGTTTCTTATAGTGAGGAATGTAAACACTGCTTGACAATAACTTAAGTATTACATTTTATACAATAAAATTGGAAGTGACGGGAAGATACTGTACATCTGAAGGCTAATTCTTGTGGGGAGTAGAGGCGGACAGCTGGTTTCAGAGAGAACCTTCATAATTATAAAGAGGCAACAGCTTTAGCTTTGAATATTGATTTCCTAATGATCATGAATGTAAGAACAGTATTTCATGGAAAATATAAAAAAATTTTTAAAATAAAGCATATTAAAGGGATTAATATATCACTGGCGCCCTCTCTTCCCATTTCTTTTGTATGCTTTGAATTGTACATATCCTTGTACTCTGTACATAATTTACATTTCCTGTGTTTTTTAGGCCCTGATGTTCGGAGAGACAAACCTGTAACAGGAGAACAAATAGAGACATTTGCCAACAAATTGGGTGAACAATGGAAGATTCTGGCTCCCTACTTAGAAATGAAAGACTCGGAAATTAGACAGATAGAGTGTGACAGCGAAGACATGAAGATGAGAGCTAGGCAGTTACTAGTTGCCTGGCAAGATCAAGAGGGAGTACACGCGACGTCCGAGAACCTGATTAATGCACTGCATAAGTCTGGATTAAGTGACCTTGTAGAGAGTCTAACTAATGACAACGAGACAAATAGTTAGCTTATTTTTTTTTATTAAAACTGTGATAAGATTTTGTTACCAAGCAGCATTTGATAAGAGGTCCACTGGTTTTGGTAAACAATAAACATTTTTATAACAGTTGTTGTACGGTTGGCTGGTGCTCCAAGAACAACAGAACACATTGGCTCTTGATAACTGACCTCAGGGTTTTGGGAGGAGGGTGGAGTAAGTTGGGGAAATGGCCAAAAGTTAGTGACCTTGATCAAGGTCGTGACATTTTTGTTAAATAAATATATGCTCATAATGAAGTAAGTGATATTTAGGGTCATGATGGTTCCTAAAATACAATATGAAAATTAGTTTCTGCATGCCATTAGTAGTTGTAAAATTTAACCTGCTATTCTGAAACTCCCAGAATAAGACTTCCTGAAACCGTATGACTGCTCTAGTCTCACTCATGCTTTAAAGCAGAGGATCAGCAAGCAATGGTCCATTCACCACCTGGTTTTATAAGTGAAATTTTATCAGCACACAGCCATGCTGATTTTTTTAGGTATTCTCTATGGCTTCTTTCCTGATAAAACAGCAAAGTAGTTGCAACAAAGATGTTACAGCCCGCAAAGCTTAAAACATTTACTATCTGGCCTGCTACAGAAAATGTTTGCTGACCCACAACTTTAAAAGAAATGGGGTGAAGTCTAAAACCTAGTTCTTTAGCCTTAGAAAAATTACTTAACTTCTCAAGACATTAAAATGGGGATGCATACCTCAGGGATTACTGTGAAGTTTAAAAGAGATGTAAGTGAAAGCACCCTATAAACAGCAAAGTACTATGTAGTAATGGTTGGAGACAGAAGCATCTACTTTTCCTGTTCCCATATATGCGTTACCCTTTGGGGATCTAAGATTAGGTCACCACTGTTTCTTAATTGCATATTACACTGTAATTGTTCTTGTTTGGGCTTAACTTCACCAGCAAGTCCCACAGTAAGCAGCACAGCTCTCATACCGAAAGGGCCTCGGTTCTAGTGGCACAGCGTGAGAGACATACTCAAGAGTCAAGGCATTTTCTTGCCTACTAAATCCTAAAATAGCCTCATTAGTTTAAAACAACACTAGTGGAAGTCCAATTTCCTATACTTAAAATATCTTTGGAATAATGCTTTTTTGGATCAAATAAAATGGAATCAATTTTTTAATAATGACAATGAATTACAATTTCACAATTCCATATAAGGCTTATATGCTGTTCTAAATCTACCTCACCTGATCTCTATTAGCTACAGTATCCTGCAAATCAGAAAACCGAAATTTTAATTGCTAAATTATGTCATAAAATTTATTCAGGCCAAATAAGACAGTGAATTAAAAGAACTGCAATATTACAAGTATCACACTAATATATACAAGAAACATCACAATTCTTAGTCTCATTTCCCCTTCTATTCTGCACCCTCCCCCAAAGCAAAGGAAGAGTAATGATTGCCAAAAATTAAAGGAATTAAAGATTAGCTGAAAAAGCTATTTACAAATAAGTCCTTTAAATGCTTATTTTTTACCCCTAGTGTTCTCAGATTATATCACACTGGCCATTATTCTCTAGGAATCTACTAGTTATCAGTGCTGTGCTCTGCAGTGCATTAAACGAGCATAAGCAAAGATGAGATTTCATGATAATCCCCAAAACTTAATCATAAATACCCAACTCAAAAATCAGAGACCAATGAGGTAATATTCTATCATTATCTAACAATCAAGGTTCCTAAGAAAAGAGGAACTAATTAGAATATATTAAACCTACCATATTGAAATACTGCATACTTTGATATTTCTACCTCCACTTGAAAAATTAGTGAAATACACATGAAGATTTTAGGAACTGACAGCAATATAAAAATAAACTGAGCCAAGGAACAGATCTGACTGATAACATCACTGCATTCTGCATTCAAAAAACTCCACTGCTCTTAAACTTTGTATTTTTAAACAGAATGCTAACAGGCAAAAGATCATGTTTTAAAATGGATGCTTAACAGCAGAAAAACTAACCAGAATTAACATCAGAACTTCAGCCAACTCAACAGACAAAAAGACTTGAGGTAAAAAACTGTTAATCCCTTTTTTTATTAAATATCCCCGTTTTCTAAAAATAAGCAACCAGAGCCTGTCAACATTTTTTAAGGTTGATTACTACAAAACCATTGCAAAGTTAAACATACAAACCATAGTACATCAGAGACACAGTAATAAATGTATAATCAAATGTACTATTGATCACAATTTATTTTGAAAGTCATGAACAGCCAGCAACAATCAGGCTGGACAAATACTTGATTGGACCCATGTTTCCATGGGTGGGATATGGACAGCAGCACTGAGATACAATGAGAACGACACTTCTTTTCCATCTTCCTGGCAAAATTTGTTAGATAAGGCAAAGGATGGACAGCTACTGAATTACCTGTGGTTTGAACCATGCAAGAACAACAAATAACAGTAATAGGTGTGCAATAAACATCTCTGCTGAATCTTAAATTGAAAAAGGCAGGGGAAATTACCACAGAAGGTAATGGTTGAAAGGCATTTCAACTCAGATTTTTTTTTAATTTATGGAAGAAATAAACTTTTTAAAAATGTCTTCCTGCCACCTTTATTCAGGGCAGCACATTCCAAAGGCAATTTTTTCTGTAATTTTCTAGGTTGATACAGAGCGGTCTGCTTCTACCCTCTCTGTTTCACATGAGGGGGGAAATAAAACCACTTACATATCTTCCTCTAAAGTTCGGAATTATAAAAATGATCAACAAATAACATTTATTTCACACCTAAGCATAAACAGCTGAAATGAAGATTACTGTTCACTTTCCTCTTCCATTATTTCAACTCTGCGAGGCCCATAGAGTAAAACATAAGCTATATGCCAGTCTCCGCCACCAGAAAGCCGCAAAATATCTTCTGGTGTCACAATGCTGACTTTGTCATCATCAAACTTAATCCATTCATCTAAAGAACAAGAAAGGAAAATGAAATTAAAATTATACACAATTTTTCCAGAGTTCCACTTCAAAAAAGGTACTAATTTTATGTACAGCAATACTCTGTCTACCGTATCAGTAGCTCTCAAAGCATGACCCAGGAGTACTCAGGTTCAAGACCACTTCAGGAGTTCTATGAAGGTTACAACTGTTTTCATAACACCACTAAAGTGTTAAATGCCTCTCCCCATCATTCTCTCCAGTATGCTTTGGAATTTTCCAGAAGCTACATAATATGTGATAAAGCAAGAGACAGAATGCAGAAACAATTAGGAGAGTCTTCCTGTCTCCTATTAAGCCAGACAAGAAGATTTACAAAAATATAAATCAATACCATTTCTTGCTAATGTTTTTGTATTGGAAAATAGTTATTTTTATTTTTAAAATGTTATGTCATTTTGAAATGAATTTACTTCTGTTTTCTAGTAAATAAATTAATTCTTGTAAACAAAAGCTCTTCAATAATTAAGAATGTAATGGGGTTCTGAGACCAAAAAGTATGAGAACCACTGTGCTAAAGAATTTATATTAAACAAACTGTTGAAACAGTTTGTAACAATTGAAAAAAAAATAGAATCTTTACCTTGTTTCCTTTTCACCCATGATACATAATGACCTGAAGAGCTAGACCTTCCCTGATGTGTTAGAACTGCTTGTAAATCATAGTATCCACAATTATTGGAGCCAATGTCTACAGAAAGATATAAATCCATTAATATTAGACAAATAAACAGACATGTGCTTTCTACAGCCAGGTAACAAAAACAATTCTGAAGTTAAGCCTAGAGAACCACATTGCTCTATTAGAACCCAGTAAGGTACTACTGTCCAAAGTTAAGGCTTCATGAAAGATGTTTTAAGAAATATAGTATCATTCATAAAACTCTATGCTAATAAGATTGATTTTTTTATTGTACGTCACATTGAGATAAATTACTTCAGGAAACCTTTTTAAAAGCATAAAATCTACAAGATATGGCAAGACAATAATTTTCCTTAAAACACACACACAATACCTCAACTGAAATGAAGAATTCACTTACCATCAGCAAAAGAGAAAGGTTCATACTTAACTTCTTTCTGGGGACTACTCTTTGTGTCACTCTGAAGAAGAAAAAAGTAATTTAAAATCATGATATCAAAAATAAAATTTGCATTCCCAGTGAGTACATGTCTCCCCAGTATGTGAAAGAAGAGAGTTCTGTGAAAACCTTCATAAGCCAAACTGGCATCAATAAACTGAAGAGGATCCCCCTGTTTTCAGAAGTTCACATTATGCCATTTCACTTTTACAAAAAGCAGAAGACCTACATTAGAATGGTAGTGGACTTTTTCATAAAAGGAAAATTCCTCTTCAGATTTCATTCAGTTGGCTAGAACAGGTAGGTTTTTCATAGAAGTGAAGTGGTATAAAGCAAACTTTCAGAAAGCAGTGGATACTGTGTTCATTTTCACAAATACTGTCTACAATCCGAAGCATTGAGGCAAAAAATAAAATATATATATGGTCTGCCTTACAAATGACTAAAATGATGTAATTACAGTTAACAAAACTGGAGACCCGAAGATCCTGCACTTCAACAACATACAATCTTGTATGTACGGTAACAACAGGCCGTCTGGTTATAGGACCAAAGGTAACCCACTGATGCGTGAGCATACCAGTGAAGACAGTGGTACAGATAAACAGGGCTCTAGAGTTGTAGGGGGAAAACCCAATTCTATAATTTTATTTTACCAAAATATGGTATTATCAAACCACATAAACAAAAAATTTTAAGCTGCCTCAAAAAACAGATATTAAATTACAGCAACTAATAATCTATTAAGCCATGGCCGCCTGCCACTTTAGCTCAAATAAACTGAAATATTCAATTCAGCAAATATTTACCTATATTAAAAGAGGCATGATTTACTATGTTAGACAAGGATCTTTGGGGGAACTCCCTGCATCAACCCACTTCCATGTGCAAAACAAAAAAATTTAAACAACTTGTCTAGGCATATGGGCACAAAGTTCTGAAAAACTATAAAGGTAACGAAGACAATACAAGCAGTTTAAAGATAGCCAGACAAGAATTCAAAGGATCCTATAACAACAACAAAAAATTAGGTCAACTATTCCTTATTCTACCCAGATGACCCTTGAACAACATAGGTTTGAACTGCATGAATCTACTTATACACATTTTGTTTTCCAACTGACCCACACAGTTCAAACTAGCACTGCTCACTGTCAGCTGATGCTTGGGAATCTGTGTGCAGAGGACCAACTTATGTAATACATGCATTTCTAACTATGTGGGTGGTCAACACCCCTAGTCTCCACACAGTTCAAGGGTCAACTGTATATAATGTATAATGTAATAACTGTAGCAACCACAAAAGCAGCTATAAAAGTAATACATTATATACATAAATCAAACTACAATTCTATAAAAATGTTCAAGCAACCTACAAGAAGGCAAAAATAAGAAAAAATAGACAAAATAGATTTAAACACTAACAAATCAAATAATTACATTAGGTGTAAATGATCTAAATATACCAATAAAAAGAGTAATAAAATACAGTTGTCCCTGGCTATATCAGGGTTCACTTATTGTGGCTTCATTGTACCACAGGAACCATCAATACCATGAAGCCACAATAAGTGAACCACAATATAGCAAGAGATGACTATATACTTCACTGGTGAGTATCCATATAGAATTTTCTATGTTGTTAAAATTATGTAGGTTTAAGAGTATAGAAAGTGTTTAAGAGCGTATGAAGTGTTTATAAGAGTGTGGGAAGGGATTTATATATATATATTTGTTTTTTAATTTATATACATAAATAGATATATATAATGCTGCCACCTCGCGGATTTTCACCTATCGCAAGGGTCTCGGGAACATAACTCCTGTGATAGGTGAAGGATCACCGTACACCAGTAAACAGAGTGGATTAAAAAACATGATCCAAATATATACTATTTATAAGAAACTCTCTTCAAATATAACCGGAAAATTTAAAGTAAAATGATAGCAAAAGACATATCATGTAAACATTAACAAAAAGAAAGCAGTAGTGGTGACATTAGTATCAGATACAGTAGATTTCAGAGCAGAGGAAACTACCAGGGACAGGGAGGAATATTCCATTTTAATAAGTTCACTCCACAATCCTAAGTGTGTATGCACCGAATAACAGCTACAAAACATGCAAAGCAAAAGCTGATAGAACTGAATAGAGAAACATACAAATTCACAATTCTACTTGAAGACTTCCACTACTCCTCTCAGTAACTGACAGAACTAGACAGAAAAGCAGCAAGCTTAGAGGAAGGAGAATGCACCACCACCATCAACCAGCTGGATCCAGTCGTTATCTACAGAACACGCAACACCAGAAATAGGCATTCTTTTTACACGCTCATGGAATATACACCAAGATGGATGACACCCTGAGGCATCTAATGGAAACCTCAACAAATTTTTAAAAATTTAAATAACACGAGTATGTTCTCTCACTACAGTAGTACCAAACTAGTAAATAGAAACATAGCAGAAAAATTTCCTAATACTTGGAAACTAAGCAAGATAGATACTTTTAAAAAATTCAAGATCAAAGGGAAATACAAGGACAAAATACAAGGGACAGAATAAAAATAAAAGTACAGTCTAATGAAATTAGTAGGACACATTAAAAGCACTGCTGAAATTTATAGCTCTCAATGCATACATATGTTAGAAAAGAGAGAAAAGTTTGATATTAAAACCAAGTTTCTTTACCTTAAGAACCTACCCAAAGGGAGCAGAAGAATAGAGTAGAAATTAATAAAATTACACACAAAAAAATACAGAAAAATCAATGAAACAAAGAGCCAGTTCTCTGAAAGATCAGTAGAATAGACAATCCTCTAGCAAAACAAAGAAAATAAAATGACACTAATTACCAACATCAGGAATGAAATGGGAGAGACAGCACTATGCAACCTGCAGACATCAAATAATAAAATGAATTCTAGAGACAACCCCATACATAAAATCGATAGGTTAAATACATAAAGTCCATAAAAACGCAAACTATAAAAAAGATTATTTAAGCAGCCCATAACTATAAAGAAAGTTGAATCTGTACTTTAAACAATCCTGGAAAAGAAACCTCTAGGCCCACACTGTTTCACTAATACAGTTCTACCAAACATGTGAAGAAAATTAACACCAGTTCTACCCAATCTCTTTCCAAAAAGGAAAACAAGAAACAGCTAATAAACAGTTCAGCAAAGTAGAAAATACAAGATCAACAATGAATAGCTGAAAACGAAATTAAGAAAGCAATGCCATTGACAAAAACATCAAGAAAAAATATACTTAGGAATACATTTAACCAAAGTATAAGATCTGTACACTAAAATCCACAAAACATTGTTGAAAAAATTAAAGACCTAATAGACCTATCAAATTCATGGATTTCAAGACTTAGTTTGATACTATTAAAATAGCAAGACTCCCCATCCTGACTGGTGTAGCTCAGCAGGCATCCTGCAAACTAAAAGGTCAAAGGTTATAATTCCCAATCAGGTCACATGCCTGGGTTGCAGACCAGTTTCCCAGTAGGGGGCATGTGAGAAGCAACTGATAGATTTTTCTCTCCCTCTTTCTTCCTTCCTTCCCCACTCTCTAAAATATAAATTAAAAATCTTAAAAAAAATAAAACAAAACAGTACAACTCCCCTAAATAATCTAGATTCAATGCAATCCCTATCAAAATTTCAATAGCTTTTTTTGAAAAAATAGACAATCTGATCCTAAAATAAACCTGGACATACAAGGGCTTCGGAAAAGCCAAAACAATCTTGAAAAGAACAAAGTTAGAAGGCTCATACTTTGCTACAGTCCTTATTACAAAACTACACTAATGAAGGCTGTGGTACTAGCAAAAGGACATAGAAATCAATGGAATAAGACTAAGAGTCCAGAAGTACACATCTATGACCAACTGACTCTGCAAGGGTTTCAAAACCGTTCAATAGTCAAAAGAATAGTCTTTTCAACAGTGCTGGGACAACTGGACATTCACATGTAACAGAATGAATCTGGGCTTGTGCCTCATCCCACACACAAAAATTAACCCAGAATGGATCAAAGACCTAAATGGAAAAACTAAAACTATAAAAATATTACAAGAAAATAGGTATAATTCTTCATGGCCTTTGACTAGACAATGGTTTCTTAGACATAACACCAAAAGCAAAGCAACCAGAGGGAAAAAAACATATTTAATTACATCAATATTAAAAATTTTCCCTCTGCAAAATACACTGTTAGGAGGATGAAAAGGCAAAACTATAGGCTGGGAGAAAATATTTGGCAACCATATATACAACAAAGGACCATTATCTAGAATGTAAAGAACTCTCAAAATTCAAGAGTAAAAACACAGCATAATTTGAAAATGTGTAGAAGACATGAAGAGACATTTCACCAGAGAGGATACACAGATAAATATATATAGACATGTTCAACATCATTAGCCACTAGGAAAATGCAAAGTAAAACCACAATGAAGTATCACTGCAAACCAATTCAAATGGTTAAAATAAAGAAGTGATACCACCAAATTCAATGCAGAAGAGGGGGCCTAATCATACTGCTGATAAAAGCCTAAGTTAGTACAGCCACTACGGAAAACATTGACAGTTTCTTAAAAAACTAAATATACGACTACCATGAAATCTAGAAATTACATTGCTGGGTATTTATTCCACTTAAATGAAAGTTCAGGTTTACAGTAAAACTGGTACATCAGTGCTATAGCAGTTATTTATAATAGACAAAATGGAAACAATTCAGCTGCCTTTCAGTGGGTGAATGGTTAAGCAAACTGGTATATCCATGTCCACATGAAATACTATTCAGCAATAAAAAAGAAGGAACTATTGCTTTGTATAGTGAAATCTTTACCAGGAAATATCTTTTTCATTTGAAAAAAATCAACGTGTAATAGTTTAGTTGTACTTTATCTGAACCCAAAATACAACCTGTTGTTAAATATAAAGTTGACATGGTTATAAGTGTAGGAGTTACAGGCATACCAGCACCACTTACTTAAAAATACAACTCAGCAGTTGCAGTGGATATAAATGAATCAGTATTCTGTACCACCACTTCCATCTAAAAAATGGAGATAACTTCATAGCTTCCAGGGAAAATAATAAAATACACTGAGACTACTAGGCAAGATTTTATGTGAAGTGCTTTGAGGACATAAATAGAAAAGGAATCTAAGGAGCAAACTATAAGAAAAACAAATATATTAAATTTATTCTACTATAAAGGACCCTCACCATAACTAGAGTTCTTTTTCTTATGCTAAAATACACCTAAAACTTTAAAGGCTTGCACCAGTATGTTGAATTTGCATATGACCAAAATAAAATATAGGTCATCCATTTTTTACAGTAAATTAACAATGCAAAGTAACCGCTGAAGATTAAAGATTAAAATGTTAGGATTAAAAAAACAGCAATTAAGAACCTACTGTCTTTGTCTGCTGATTCACTTTTTTATCCTCCAGATCCTTGAATTTTGATCGAAAAGAGATCATTTTCTCTTGAAGTTCTGGTGTACACAGTTCGTACACATCCAACATAAGAGGAAATTTGACATCCTATATAAAAGTCATAGAAAAATAATGTGTAAACAGACTTATGAAGGCAGTTACTTAAAATATCGCACCTATTTTATTAATCTTTTTTTAAGCTTTTCTTCCTACGTTGGGTCGACTGTTACGTGTTGTTGTTTTTTTGGTTTTTTTTAGATTTTATTTATTTATCTTTAGAGGGAAAGGGAAGGAGAGAAATATCATTGTATGGTTGCCTCTCATGAGTCCCCTGCTGGGAACTGGCCTGCAACCCAGGCTTGTGCCCTGACGGGGAATCGAACCGAGATCGTGTGGTTTGCAGGCCCACGCTCAATCCACTGAGCTAAACCAGCCAGGGCCATTTTTTATTAATTTTTTAAAAATATTTTATTTATTTAGAGAAAGGGGAAGGGAGGGAGAAAGAGATAAAAGAGATATGTCAATCAGTTGCCTCTTGCACGCCCACTCCCAGGCATGTGCCCTGACTGGGAATGTAACAGGCAACCTTTCACTTTGCAGACCAGCACTCAATCCTCTGAGCCTGACCAGCCAGGGCTCTATTCCACTTTTAAAACTAATGTTTTCATAATTCACCTAAAGTTGAAAATGAAATCTGTAAATCACTTGGAAATCTATGCAGTTGAAAATATCACAGTGCTCATTTTCAATCTGGTCCTAACTTTAAGGTAAAAACATTTTAACCTGTGAAACTGACCACAGAGCAGTTACCAAAGTCTATATGAACAGACACACTTTAGAAATATTAGACCAGCTGCTGTGAAAATAATGGAGACCTAAAACCAGCAATGATGTCAATTTACAAATGGGGTCATTTTTTACCATAATTTGAAATACAACTTTACATAGAAACAATAGTGATATAGTTCAATAACTAGTATTAATATATGAAGTTAACACTAGTAGACACTTCAACTACAGTTAACCTTCAAATATAACACTAAGTATATCTGAAAACAAGCTATGAATTTCAGAACAATAGGCTAGAACTATATACCTCTCCCAAGGATCAGGGGCACTGGCTATGAAGCAGAGCTACGGTTCAAAAAACAGCTACATTGTATGGCTGGCTCCTACATCAACAGACTACAGCTTAAGTACTCTTTGGGTACCAATAATTTAGCACTCCTTTCACCAGGAAGAAACACTGCCTAGAACAGCGAGAGTGCAGTGTATCGCACTGGAGTTGAGTTGATCTAGGGCAATGTTCCTGGGGACTAGAGGACATTCATGAGAATTATCTGGAAATCTTTTCAAAAATGTAACCTCAGGCCCAACTTAAATCAGAATCTGGAGAAGTCAGGCATGTACATAAATTTAAAATAAAAAGGACAATAGATAATTCCAATACCCATCTTGGTTAACAACCACTAGTCTAATGTTAATAACTTTCCTATTTACAGTATTTCAAAGAAAATTTAGCTATCCCTGAAAGAATGAAAAAACCTACTGTAAGGGACTGTCTTCAAAGAGTAATTTTTTATTACACTAAGAAGTTCATACTGCCTTGGCTGGGTAATTCAATTGGTTAGAGCTAGCCCCTATACAACAAGGTTGCTGGTTCGATCCCTGGTCAGGGCCCATGCAAGAATTAACCAATGAAGGCATATATAAGTGGAACAACAAATCAATGTTTCACTCTCTCTAAAATCATAAATAAAAAAATGAAAAGTTCATTACTAACCTTAAGAACTTTAGCATTCACAGATTCTTTCTCTTTATAAAAAAATCGAACCATCTGAATAGTCAAGTAAGCAGGCAGTCGGCTTATCTTGGACTAAGAAGAAATAATACAAAGAAATCGTATTATATGAAAGCATGCAAGTTTTTCATTCCTTGATTTGGTTAAAACAAAGACTGGGCAATATTAATTAACTGGAAAACTTTTAACAAAATGGAATTCAATTTCAAAAACAATGTACAACTTACTGATTTGATATACAAAGCATTTCTTTGCAATGTTGGAGACTGCTTGGTGATTTCTTCCTGAAGTCGCTAAAAAACAACATAACAGAACACCAAACATTAGTCTCTAAAATTTTCTCCCACAATATAAAATCACACCTTCGATTCTTTTAAAAATTAGCACTATTTAACAAACAATGTACAAGGTCTGTCCGGAAAAAGTCCAGCCACTGTTAATATAACAAGAAGTTTTCATGACGCTAATGTAACCTGACAGCCAAGGAGAGTGGACTGCAATGCACATGCGTGAGCAATGATGACTTCACTGTACTAGTCAGTGGGGTGGCAGACACCATTGAGTGACTATGTGTACTGTGTGGCTGGTGCATTACTCAAAGTGACTGAGTAGAGAAAGGAATCTGCATCAAATTTTGCATTTAGCGTGAACATTCCTCCGCAGAAACTATTCAGATGATTCAGAAGGCTTTCCGGGATGATGCAATGAGTGTAGCACAAATAAAAATGTGGCACGAATGCTTCAAAAATGGTTGAGATTCTTTTGAAAGTGATCCAGGTTCTGAAGGCCTGCAATAAGCAGAACATCTGGGAATGCTGAACCTTTTAGGGCTGCAATTAACAAAGATCAGCAACAGACAGTGCAAGAACTAGAAGTGGGTCTGGGGATTCCCGAAACTACTGTATCCAAGATTTTGATGCAGAATCTGGCATGAAACGTGTTGTAGCAAAATTCATTCCATGGCTTCTGCTACCAGAGCAGAAAAGAACACTGTGCTGCAGTTACTGATGACTTCATTCAAACCACCTACCAATGAACCAGATTTCCTCAAGGAGGTCATGACCAGAGATGAATAGTGTGGGTCTATAGCTATGATCCAGAAACCAGGGCCTAGTCATCCCAATGGAAGTCTCCTGGTTCTCCACGGCCAAGGAAGGCCCAGCGAAGTCACACAATACCTAGACCATGTTAACTGTATTTTTTGATTGGGAAGGTGTTGTCCATCACAAGTATGCCTCTCCAGACCAAACAGTTAATAAGGAGTGCTACCTCAATGTTCTCTGTAGGTTGAAAGTTGCATATGACGAAAATGGCTACAGCTATGGGCAACTGGTGATTGGCAGCTTCATCACAACACACCCACTCACACATCACATCTCATGCAGAGTGTTTTGGCGAAGTATCAAATCACCCAGTTGACTCAGCCCTCTACAGCCCAGATTTGGTGCCCGGCAAATTCTGGTTTTTCCCAAAATTAAAATCACCTCTGTAAGGAAAAAATTTCAGACCATTGATGACACTCAGGAAAATACAATTGAGAAGCTGAGTACAATTCCAATAAAGGATTTTGCACAGTGTTCTGAATGGTGAAAGTGATGCTGGGAGAACTGTATGAAGTTCCATAGTGCCTACTTTAAAGGGGACTGAGGCGTCATTTTCTTATGTACAATATTTCTTTTATCTTACAGCTTCTTCAAAATATCTCTATTTTTCATAGTACATGGCTAGATACTTTCTGGGCAGACCTCATACGTTATTGGATTTATATACCGCTGAAAAATAATCTCTATGAAGACAATGTGGGAGCACTTTTATTTTTAGATATGGTTCAGTTTTTTTTAAATATTCTATTTCTTTTCAGAGAGGGAGAAGGGAAGGAGAAAGATGGAAACACCGATGCCAGAACATCAATCAGTCGCCTCTCGTGTGCACCCTGACCTGGGACCAAACCTGCAACCTAGAAAAGTGCCTTCGCCAGGAATCAGACTGGTGACCTTGTGCTCTGTGGAACAAAGCCCAACCAACTGAGCCACACAGGTGAATCATAGCCACACAGGCTATGATTCAGTTCTTGAAGGGCATCAGATAGCATCAAAACATTTACTCTGGTGTGAACTCGCTGGAATATAAGCATAAATAATGTTTAAAGTTTTTAAATTATGACCCAAATGTGACTCAAATTCTGAGACTCTATACTGCTTATTATATAATATTAGATAGCCTTTTATGGTATTCCTACTCATGGTTTATTAGAATATTTATATTACAGAAAAATTAAGAGAATGCAGGAAATCCTAGTTCTTTAGGCCTGATATATAAAAGCCTTGCAGAACCAGCCAGTTATTATTAAATTTGAGAAAAGTCGTAACAAAAAAACCCTCTGTTAATCTAGTTTTGGCCACTATACATATCTTCATAATTACGTCTGCCTTTCCACTCCTCAGATAACAAATTATCTTGTATATCAATCTAATTCCTGCCCCAGTTCACTGCCTATCCTTCAAAAGGATGTGCATATTCCCCAAATCACATCAAATTAATAAGCTGGCAAGCAAATCCATTGTATTTTATCATCTGCTCACTACAGTGCCTTCTTTAATGTCACTGGGCAAAGAGTACCAATGAAATAATGAAAGAAGCAAGTGCTAGATCTGGCTCTGCCATAAACCAAAGTAAGTCACTAAGTTCTAGAGCCTTGGCTGCAATACTAGTGCAATGACAGGTGGAATAACTATATGGCCTGATATGCACAGCACAATCCCAGTTTATACCTCAGAATTATTAAAATATCCCCATTATCATACCCTCAGAGTCCCCCTGGAAGCCTCTGGCCTCATTTTTGTCAACCAACCAATACACAACCTTGTTTTATGGGTGTTTCTCTATAATGACACCTTACTTCACATACACTGTTATTTGTTAACAAGGTACTTAACACACAGCTACACTAAAACACCCCTCAATGAAGCTTATCTAAGAAACTTAATTTTCTCCTTAAGGTATGTCACAGCTCTCTTGCACTTAAAACATCAGATAGCACTTCAGCACTATGCCTGAAGGCCATTTTAAACAGCAAAATCAAAAAGCACAAAAATGTGAGACTGTCAAATGACTACAAGAAGGACACTTGTTTATAGTGTGAGAGCTGAAACAAGAAAGAGCATCACCTAACTGGACCTGGACCTCAGGGGAAATAATGCGTGCCAGCTGACTCAAAACTTCTGCCACACTAGCCCTGGCCAGGTGGCTCAGCTATTCGAGTATTGTCCCACATGCCAGAAGGCTGCGGACTCAACTCCCAGCAGGGCACATACCTAGGTTTTACATTCGACCATGGGAGGCAACCATCAGTGTTTCTCTCACATCAATGTTTCTTTCTTTCTCTCCAAAACTCAAAAAAAAAACCCCATATCCTCAGGTAAGGATAAAAATAAAATAAGTTTTTGCCACACTAAGCATGTCTTCAAATGGCCATGAAAACACTACAAGTGTTGATGATGGGTTACAAATACAATTTTTGCAAGTAGGTGAATTTGCAAATATCGAGTCCACAAATAAAGACGATTGACTCTAATTGTTCTTACCAATTTAAGTCCTGTAAAAAGATACTTGACTTCTTGATTGATAAAACAGCTAAGCTGAAGCTGACTTTCCTTTCCTTTAGTGACTTCTTCCTCTTCAGATTCTGTACATTTCATGCTTTGTGAAATAAGATAAGGAATATGCTAACAGACATTAAATTATATAATCTTGAACAAACTATCATAATGCTATTAAAATTAACAGTATCATTCCTCAGTATTTAAAACATGTTGGTCTTCCAACAGAGATTTATTTCAACGTATTTAGAAATGCTCATTCAGTTACCAACAACAATAAGCAATGAATGTATGAAAAGCATAAACGTTAAACAAATCTGTATTTTCTAAAAATGGTCTTAAAAACCGAAAGATAAAGAGAAATCTTTTGTAAGTCTTTATCCATTACCTAGAAAATAATACTTTCATAAATTCATGTTTTATAAATTGTTTCCATCTCATGTATTTATCTGATGTACTCCATTTCATACAATTAAAAATTAATTCTGTACGAGGGAAATTAATGAAGTGGACTCCAAAAAAGATGTTCTTAGGGGACTTCTGGCCAAGATGGAGGTGTAGATAGATACATTTTGCTTCCTTGCACAATGAAAAGAAGGACAACAACAAATTTAAAGATAAAAAATAACTAGAACTGCCATAAAATTGACCTGTATGGGAAGTCCAACAACCAAGGAGTTAAAAATGACACATTTCAGGTAAAGACTTCCGGCCAAGATGGAGGTGTAGGTGGAAAAACTGCCTCCTTGCACAACTAAATTTAAAGACAACAAAGTTTTAGCAACAAAAACGCAGCCAAAACACAGACAATTGAACCGTACGGAAGCCCAACTACAATGAACCATTCATCCAGACCGGTAAGTAGGGCAGAGTCAGCAGTGGAGTGGGTCAGGCAGGAAAGATCAGCCGGACCGACCCAGGAGCACAGGCAGAGGTTGGCGGATCCCAGGCGTGGGGTGGCAATGGGCAGACCCAGTGAGGGCGCAAGGCGGTTGGCTGACCACGGTCACACATTTGAGCCCAGATAAACCAGATAAACCAAGCAAAGGAGCTTGCAGTGAGACAGACCGCTCAGGCCAGGGCCTCAGCGATGGGAATTAGAGCCTGAAAGCACCAACTGGAAAGACTTCCAGGGTTCAGATGCCAGGAGAAGTTCCCAGGCTCACAGAGAGTTCGTTGGAGAGACCCACAGGGTCCTGGAGGGTACACAAGCCTACACACCTCAGAACCAGCACCAGAAGGGCCAAATATGCTTGTGGGAAACAGCAGAGGGGACAGAAATCTGAGAGAGAGTGGAACAAATGCCATTGCCCCTCTCTGACCCCGCCCCCACATACAGCGTCACAACCCAGCAACTGGGTTGCCCCACCCTGGTGAACACCTAAGGCTCCGCTCTCATACATAATAGGCGTGACCTGACCAAAACATTAATAGCTCAAGCCCCAGAGCCCATAAATCTAAGCAATGAAGAAATAGCCAAACTTTCAGATGCACAGTTCAAAACACTGGTGATCAGGATGCTCACAGAACTGGTTGATTTTAGTCACAAATTAGAGGAACATAAGAAAGCTAAACTAATTGAAATGAAGGGAAATGCACAGGAAACCAATAGTAATGGAAAGGAACCTGGAACTCAAATCAAAGGAGTAAAAAAATGACCAAACAGAAAAGGATGAAGAAACAAGAATTCAAAAAAATGAGGAGAGGCTTAGGAACCTCCAGGACATCTTTAAACATTCCAATATCCGAATTATAGGGGTACCAGAAGGGGAAGAGGAACAGCCATGAGTGGAAAACTTATTTGAACAAATAATAAAGGAGAACTTCCCCAATCTGGCAAAGGAAATATACTTCCAGGAAGTCCAGGAAGCTCAGAGAGTCCCAAAGAAGTTGGACCCAAGGAGGAACACACCAAGGCACATCATCATTACATTAGCCAAGATTAAAATAAAGGAGAGAATCCTGGAAGCAGCAAGAGATAAGGGGACAGTCACCTACAAAGGAGTTCCCATCAGACTGTCAGCTGATTTCTCAAAAGAGACCTTACAGGCAAGAAGGGGCTGGAAAGAAGTATTCCAAGTCATGAAAGGCAAGGACCTACATCCAAGATTGCTCTATCCAGCAAAACTTTCATTTAGAATGGAAGGACAGATAAAGTGCTTCTCAGATAAGGTCAAGTTCAAGGAGTTCATCATCACCAAGCCCTTATTATATGAAATGTTAAAGGGACTTACCTACGAAAAAGATAAAAAAGATGAACAGTAAAAGGACAGCAAACTCACAATTATTAACAATCACACCTAAAACAAAAGCAAACTAAGAGGACAGCTAGATTAGGAGCAGAACGATAGAAATGAGATCACATGTAGGGTGAGTAACAGGGGAGTGGGAGAAGGAGAAGGGGGGAGAAGGTACAGAGAATAAGTAGCATAGATGGTAGGTAGAAAATAGGGGGGAGGGCAAGAATAGTATGGGAAATATAGAATCTAAAGAACTTGAGACATGTGGTCATAAACTAAAGGGGGGAACGGTGGGGGAGCAGGTGTGCAGAGTGTAGGGGAATGAAGGGGGCAATAGGACAACTGTAATGGCATAATCGATAAAATATATTTTTTAAAAAAAGAGCATAGAAAATGGAGAAGCCAAAAAACTTATATGTATCACCTATGGACATGAACCAAGTAGGGGAATGGGGGTGAGAGGTGGGATACAGAGCAGAGAAGAATAAAGGCGGGAAAAAATCGGACAACTGTAATAGCATAATCAGTAAAATATATTTTTTGAAAAACATGTTCTTAGGAAACAATATTGAATATCCTTAAAGTATAGTTATCTAAACTTCAAGATCACTCCAACTGGTGTATTTTTCCAAATTTCTAATTCCCATGATATTGCTTAGACACAAAAATCTCTGAAGAATTTTTCTTCACATCCCACCCCCCATTCCCATCAGTTTACATTATTTATACCAATTTACTTCATTCACTTCTAATAAGTTATGAGTAGTTCATACATATCTTGGCTCATAAGGATACGTAGTTTCAAATTCAACTCCAAAGAACTGATCAATTAAACTTTTCTTTTTGGAAGGTGTCAATGCTGATGCAGATGAAGAATCTGTCTGCAAATATTAAAATAAAAATGCCTGTTTTACATTATGTAATTATACTTCCTCCCACACAATCCAGTTTAGTGAAATATATTTAAGCTTTTTAAAATGTAATCCCTTTCTGTAAAATCCTTCTGCTGTTCAAAAAACATTATGAAAAAACTACAGATGCTCAATAATATCAATTAAGTTTAATAAAAATACATTAATTCAAGTGTCAAATGAAAGCTTTCAAATTCCAACTACAGATCGAACATCTAAAGTATGCAAGTTCATGCCTATCTATTAAGATGAATTGATTTCAAGCCATTGGGGTGGGGATGAATCAAAGTACAATGAAAATCAATAATTGCAAATATATTTCAATTACCTCTTTAACAGAATCATCCTCGATGGCTTCCAATTTCTGTTGCAATACTCGCATCATTTGTATCCAACATTCATTAGCATCCTGTAATTTTAAAAACGACACAGTAAATAATCCTGGCTATGACAGTGTCTGATCTACAGAATCCTTCCAAAAATAATTAGTGTCCTTAAGGAAGGAGAAGAAAGCTAATTTTTTCTTCAAAAATTTTAAGCTAATGTTGATCTTTTATGATCTTCAAAACAACAAAGAAATTCCGAAATAGTTCTTTTCATTCATTCAAGAGATATTTTTATGGTAGAACTGTATACTTAAAATCTATATAATTTTATTAACCAATGTCACTCCAATAAATGTAATTAAAATAAAGAGAGATGTTTACTGAACTCCTGATTATGCTAAACACTGTTCTGGACACTAGGAACACATAGCAGTAAATAAAATAGAAAGGTTCTAATGGGAAACCTAGATAAACAAAATATAACATAAATTCAAGTAGAGAAGGGTAGTAAAGGGGGAAAGAAGGCAATACGGGAGCAGAGTAACTGGGAGAAGGAAAAGTGTGCTACTTCAGTAGGATAATCAAGGAGAATCTGTCTGATGCAACATTTGAGCCATGAAACCTGAAGGTAAGGAGGAAAGTGAAAGTCATATTACTAAGAGCCAGAGGAACAAGAGCAAAGACCCTGGCTGCCCTCCTTGGGGCACTTCATTCATCTTCTTTTCAAGTGAATTTTCTTCCTCCTAAACTCTAAGGGTCCCATGAGACTTGCAGCCAGGGGAGCAGTGGGCAGTGGCAGCTCATCCTGGGCTAACCCCCTGAATCTGTCTCCAAGGCTCTTTTTTCACTGACCTTCCAGTGGGCTGACAGCAGCCCCACCACGGCTCGCTTCTTTCCTGTCTCTAGACAAAGCACCCCCGCCTAGGTAGGCTCTCCTATTGCTGCTTCTATCCTGAACCCTTCCTTGTTTCACTGTCTCCAGCTATAATAAATGTAATCTCAAAATTTACAAAAAAAAAAAAAAAGATCCTGCAGAAAGAGGATTTTTGGAGGTTTTAAAAAATAGCAAGGAAGCCAGTATGTGGAGAGAAGTGAGCAAGGACAGTGGCACATGATAAATTCAAAAAAAGTAGGCACAGGATAATTATTTAGAATTATTTACGATTTTAATTATTTAGGGATAGATGATCACCAGGAAGTATTGAACAGGGACCAACATAATCTTATTTACATTTTAAAAGGAGTTTGGGAGCTATACAGAGAAACACTGCAGAAACACAAGTGAACAAGATGATCACTCCAGGCAATATATAATAGTGGTTTGAACTAGAGAGGACTGATGTTTGTATTTCCAAATAAACTCCAATAAGTATGGTAATGTAGAAAACCTAAATTTTACATTTACAAAATGAAACCAAGAGCCTTGCCCTGATTACCTGTTGAAGATACTGTCCTTGTTCGCCCTTCTCTGCAAACTGTGGAAAAGCCATGTGCAAAAACTGCAGTAGAATAATAGGTGGAATACTAGAAGAAGTTTTATCCATGGAATCAAACAAATCTCTAAGGGCTTAAAACAAAGCAAACAGTACCTTAGTAAAACAGTGGCATATTTAACGCATGCTACTGTAAATTAAATCTCAATTACTGCTTAATAACTGCTTAAAACTGCTTAAATAACTGTTTTTGTATACATCTATTCACTTTGTAATTGTTAGATTCCTAATAAGAAAAACATGTGTTGTTCAAACTGCAGGAACTCCCCAGACTTCACAATGCAATCACCAGTTGTAGTACACAGTTCTGCGTCCAGACCCTCTCTCTGCCAGACGTCGTCATCTAAAACAACTTTACAGTGGGCAATTTTGGCTCGATTGTAAAAATGTAAATAGTCTGTCATCAGGCGAGAAGGAAAAATAAATAAATAAATAAATAAAGTCCGTATTTTAGAGTACCGTATCAGTGTTAAATCCCCAGATTTTAAAAATCGTCCTATGGTTATGAAAGTCCTAATCCTTGGGAAATACATATGGAAGTATTTGGAAATAAAAGACATGATGTGTGCAACTTACTCTCAAATGGTTCAGAAAAAAGAATATGCATTACAGACAGCGATGAACCAGATGTGACAAAAAAATCTGTAACTGGTGAATTCTTGGAACTTTTTTGTGAATTTAAATTTAATTCAAAATAAAAAAGTTTAGCCCTGGCTCAGTTGTTTAGAGCATCCTCCCAATATGCCAAGGTTGCAAGTTCAATCTCTGGTCAGGGCACATACAAGAAGCAACAAATGAATGCATAAATCAGTGGAACAACCTATGCTTTCTCCCTCTCCCTTCCTAAAAATCAATTTTAAAAAAATGTTTAAAAAATAAAATGAAGTTTAAAAAGTCAAGAAGCAAAAAATAACTATCCCATCAACACTACAAGCCTTCTATAAGACACTGGAAAAGCAGTTGAAAATTCTGAATTACTCTTAGATGCATATAAGCAATCAAATGAACTAGATATAAATGATATTTGCTCATTAAAAACTCCATTAAAAAAAATAAAGCTCCTTTTAGGAAAAAAAGATTAGAGGAAATCTCTAACTCCAAATGACACAAAGAAACTCACTGCTTATAGTATTAAAATTAAAAATTAATAGTTGACCACAGTAAGATACTACTTCAGATCCCTGGAATGGCTATAATCAAGGACAAAAAAAAATCCAGCATTATTGATATATCAACAATATATTGAGAAACTGGAACACTAATACATGCTGAAAGAAATGTAAAATGATGCTCCTTCGGAAAATGGCCTGGCAGTTCCTTAAAAGGTTAAATATAGTTACCATATAAACCAGCAATTCACTCCTAGAGATTTACCCACCCAAGAGAAATGACGACATATGTCCACACCAAGACTTATACACAGAATGTTCAGCAGTACTTGTAATAGTCAAAGAGCAGAAACCACCCAAATGTCTTTCAATGATGAAAGGATAAATGAAATGTGGTATATCCAATCAATAGAATCTTATTCAGCGATGAAAAGGGATGAAGTACTGCTACATGCTATAATGTGGATGAACCTTGAAAACATTCTAAGAGAAAAGAAGCCAGTCCAGAAAAGACCACAAATTGTATAATCCCATTTATACCAAAAGTGTGGAATAGACAAATCTCCAGAGGCGGAGAGCTGATTAGTACTTGCATGGGGCTGGGAGTGATGAAGGGAAAGCAAGGTGACTGCTACAAGGTAGAGTTTCTTTCTGGAATGCTCAAAATACTCTAAAATTAATTTTGGTGATGGTTGCACAACTCTATGAATTCACTAAAAAATAATGAATTATACACTTTAAATGAGTGAATTGTATAGTATATGAATATCTCAATAAAGCTGCTACAAAAAACAAACCAAAAAACCCACACACCTATAAAAACTCTATCAACCTAGCCCCATGATTGAAGAGGGTACTCATTTTGTCAAAATGCCCCAAAATGAGATGGGGGAATAGATGGTCTCATGTAATAAAAAAATAAATTATTCCTATCCTTTAAGAATTTCTATTTTTCCTCATTCCTCATACCCCACTTACACTAAAACCCACTAAGACTCTCTTTTATTATTGATTTCATCAACTATAACATAACCTATCTCTGGATATCCCCCCAAATTTATTTTATTAATAGAATCTAAAGTCAAAATTATAATTTAACCCAAATATTGTTTCTCAAAAAGGACACACATCACTGGTTTATAATTTAAATATAAGCAGTCACAAGTAGTTTACAGTAAGTAGTCCAACTTTAATGAGGTGATGTTTTACAAATCACATTTTATAAATTGAAAGGTACTAACAAACTGTGAGTGAAAAATAACATTTAGTAAATACTATGCTCTCTCTTGAAAAGTATGTATTTTTAAGACACTCACCTGCAGTAATATACTGTGCTGAAGCCATTTCCCCTGAAGCTCTCAAGGCACCAGCATACCTAGGGACATGAAGGCAGAATTAAAAACAGGGTTCAATTCCTGACACTCAAATGGGAAGAAGCAAGTTAAAAGGACTTATGACATCCTCAACTGCAAGTTTCTCAGAGTTGCTCCCACCTTTCTATTTTTATCTCTTCTGGTCTTACTTCTTTAACCATAAGGGGGAAAAAAGGGAGAGAGAGAGAGTGCTAAAATAAGGGGAAATTAAAAGAACGAAGCCACTTTAAATTTGTTCCCCTTATCTAACTCATCTATACCAAAAATTTTCTGGAGAGAGTATAAAACAAAAGGTACAGATTAACTGGTCATTTATTACAAAGAAAATAAAATACAACTTCAAAAATGTTCAGAAAAAAAGGCATTAGATCAAAAACATTAAATCAAAATCAATTCACCTACATTTAGCACTAACTAGTCACTTAAATTTCAAGTCGGTTTGCTCACCCTATAAAATGAGGGTTTTCTATTAAATGATTTCTAAGTGCACTTTCAGCTTTGTGATTCTCAGTTAATTTACAATGGTACAAAGGACTTGCCATCCAAAGGAAATACTCAAACCACAGTATTTTCTAATATGTCTTATAACAAAAGATCAGAAATTATTATTCAGGTAATATTCCAACATTGGGGGCAGGAGAGAGATTGCATATTCACTTTGATCAAAACTATGCTTACATATTACATACCCACTAAAATGAAAAACGGTGATACCCCTAAGACTGGCAAGAATATGGAGCAATCAGAACTACTGACACAGTCAAAACATGGATGGATCTCAAAAACTATGCTGAGTGAACAAGGCCAAGCCAAAAACGAAGTACATTCTGTACAATTTCAGTACACACAAAGCTACAGATCAACAGCATCTCAGGGATTTGGGCAGTGGGAGGGAATGAGGACTGACTGGAAAGGATTCAAGAAAACTTTCTGGGATAGTGGAAATGTTCTATAATTTGATTATAAACAGGGTTACAAAGAATTTATATTTGTCAAAACTTATTACTCTGAACATTTAAGATACATGCATTTCACTATACATAGATATTTCAATTTGAAAAACAAAATTCTGTGCTTATGTTAGTAGAATGAAAAGTCACAGAAAAGAGAAATAGGTGGAAGATGAATCCACTTGCTCTTGTTCCCAATTAGAATATTTGGCTGATCGTCTAAAAACTGATTATTCAACAGAATCTCAGTGGACTAGAAGCCAAGCAGTACAGAAGACACTTCCCAACAGGTGTTTTAAGATTTTATAGGTTGAAGGGGAGGGACCATAGGTACGGTGCCTGCAGCAGTGGAGACGCTGGTCAGATTGCAGCTCTGTGACTCCCTCCCCTTCCAGGGCAGAGAACTCCCAGACCCAGGCCAAGAGACTTGGATACACAAAGCTAGGGAGATCCAGCGCGCACGCGCACACACACACACACACACACACACACACACACACACACACACACACACACCAAGGAGCACACCCACAGCTGCAGCAGCAAACTGCCAACCAGAAGAGTGCCAGAGAGGCAGGTATTCTGTCAGGTAGAGACAGGATGCAGTCAGTTTTGACTGTGAGAGACCTCTGACTTTTGAAGAGGTGGTGTGTGCAGAAAGCCACACAGTGACTCAGTGCTGCAGTGGAGATGCCTGGAGAGACTTGGGGGAGAAACCGGCAAACCTGCAACCCTCTCCCTCTCCCACGGGGTGGAGAGACTTTTTAAAAAGAGAAAATGAGGTGTTCTGGGCAGGGAATCCTTGTATGGCTGCCCTGCCAAGCAAGGGGGAAAGATTGAGGGTGTGGTTTGATCCCAATGAGTGCAGCTAGGCTGAGAAAGAAGAAAGCACAGCAAGGAGATTTCTCGGCTCCAGCCTGGCACAGCTAGCAGGATGGAGGCTGAGCAGAGTGGTAAGTTCAGGACTGACTCTGTTACAAGGGCAACAGACTAGGAACTGGGCGGGCAAGAGCACCTGAGATTATTTGCAGCCAGACAGAGCCCTGTTCCCCTGGGGGGGGGGGGGGGGGGGGGGGGTTGAACCTCCAGAAAGGGAAGGATGTACCCAGCCCCTACCTCCTGCAGGATTGCAAGCAGGAGAGGCTCAAGAACCCCCCCTACAAGGTGAACATCCACAAGAGAAAGACAGAAAGAGAAATCCTAAAGGGCCCATTTTGAACTTCTCTCAGGGAGACAAAATACACTGGTTCCTAGGGCTCTATTTCACTGAGCCCAGCAAAGCAGGGAGATCAGAAATCAATGCAGCAAGGGGGAACCAGGGCCCCACCCAGCCTCAGCTCTCACACAGAGTTGCCCGCAGCACCAAGCAGTAAAGAGCAGACCCTCTTACACAGATTGGCTCCTCCCTTGAAACAGACAGCTAATTCAGCAGAAACTATACACTACTGAAAATAAGCTAAGACAGACCAAGATGGGCAGGGCAGGGGGAACACACCCACAACTTTCCCAGAAGACTGAACAGTGCTTCCCAAGGGAGACCCAGGGCCCACTACCCCAATCACAATAGAAGCCCCCTCTAGAGGCAGGGGAAGGTAATACTGGTAACACTGCCTGAAGTTGGACAACCCGCCCTAGGACCTTGAGCTGACAAAAAACCAGAGGCGGACCCAGAAACAGAAGGCAGAAGGCAAACACCAAACTCTGCCACAGGGGTGTTCAGCCTTTTGGCATCTCCGGGTCACACTGGAACAACAGTGGTCTTGGGCCACACATTAAATACATTGTGATAAGTAATCATCAAAAAAGCCTCATAACATTTTAAGTAAATTTATGATTTTGTCTTAGGCCACACTCATAGCCATCCTGGGCCACATGTGGCCCGTAAGTTGGACACCCCTGCTGCTGAGACAAATTCCACCTTGTTCCTCTTCAGAATCTGTACTGTTTTTTTCTTTCACAGAGCCTTTTAAGACTTCTTTTGTGTCAAGTGTATTTCAACTAATTCACTATTCTTTATTTCTTTTTATTTAAATTTTTTATTTCCATTTAAAATCTCACACTCTACCCTTCCCTTCTCTTACTCCATTTTGCCTTCTTCCTGTCCTTGAACATTTTTGTTGTGAATCATATTTTCCCCCACACCGCATCTTGTTCCTATTCCTTACTCTCCTCCCTCTGTCCTCTCAAAATCATTCTTCCTTCCTTCAGTCAGTTCTCATTCTTTTTCTCCGTCTTATAATTTTCTTTCCACCTTTATAAATTGTGGCTTGTCTGGTGTGGATATTATTGTTATTGCTAATATTCTTCAACTGCATTCCTACTTATTCACTAATTTTTTTCATTTCAAATCTCATAGGTTACATTCCCCGCGTTTTACTCCATTTTGCCTTCCCCCTGCCCACGCTTATTTGAGTTTGGAATTTTATTTTTTTTCCTTTTCTTAGCCTGGATCTTATTCCTTACTCTCATTATTTCTCTTCCCTCTATCCTCTCAAAATCACTTTTCCTTACTGTAGACATCTCATATTCTCTTTTTTCTTTTCTTAAGCAGAATATAAGAATAAGAATATTATTATTCTCCTTCCATCTTCATTAATCTTTGCTTAGCTGTCACTGTTATTGACCCTCTTAGGGTTTTTCTGCATTTTTATTCTCTTTGGTTCACTACTTTTTAAATTTTATTTCAAATCTTATATTCTACTCTTCCCTTTTCTTACTCCATTTTGCCATCACCCTTCCCTGGTTTACTTACATTTTAAATTTGATCTTCTCCCTTTCTTTGCCTTGTTTCTGTTCCCTACTCTTATTCTCTTCCTTCTCCAAACACAAAATCATTCTCTCCTTTAGTCATCTCATATTCCCTTTTTCCCCACACTATTCTTAATCTCTCTCCACCCTTACTGATCTTTGCTCAATTGTTATTGATACTGCTGATGTGGTAGGAGGTTATTTTTGCTGGCATGGGTTTGGTATTCTGGGTAGTATTGCTTTGTTAATCAGCACCTGTACAACAGCATACAAGACATGGCGGGGGTTGTGACTCCAAGTCAGCCTGCAGGAGAGGAGAACCCAACAACAAATGAGCCATCAATGACCAAAGTTCATGTACAATGAGAGCCCATATAAAATGAATAAAGGGCAACCCTAGAGCATATAGACCAGGAGATCAAAGAGACTGCATCACTGAGTCCCACAGAAGTCCATGCCACCAAGACAGGCAGGCAAAGCCGAGCAACCCGAGACACAGAAACAAACAAAAAGAGTCACCGAAAATGAGAAGACAAACAAGTAACCCCCGAATGAAAAGAAAGGCAGAATCCCCAGAGAGGGTGCTAACTGAAATTGAGTTAAGCAATCTGGCAGACACTGAGTTCAAAATAATGCTTATAAGAATGCTCAAGGGAGTCAGAACTACAAGAAACTTTATGGGAGCTACAAGGAACTTCATGGGAACTACAGCAACATGAAAAAGGACATAGGGACTACGAATACAAACCAGGAAGAAATTAAGAATATAGTATCTGAAATGAAAAATACAATAGAAGGAATTAAAAGCACCCTGAATGAAACAGAGTACCGAACCAGCGAGCTGAAGGACAGGTAGAAATACCCAGTCAGAGCAACAAAACAAAACAAAACAAAAGACTAAAAAAGAACAAGGATAGATTAAGGGAGCTTCAGAACATGAAAGATAACATTCTCATCATAGAAATATCAGAAGGAGAAGAAAAGGTGCATGGGATAGAAAACCTGTTTGAAATAATAATAGGAGAAAACTTCCCTACTTGTTGAGGGAAAAAGTTGTGCAAGTTCAGGAAGCACAGAGGATCCTAATCAAGATGAACCCAAAGAGGCCTACTCCAAGACACATCATAAGTAAAAGGGCAAATTTTAAAGACAAAGAGAATCTTAAAAGCAGCAAGGAAGAAACACCTAGTAATAGACAAGGGAGCTCTGATAAGACTGTCAGCTGATTTCTCAACAGAAACACTGGAAGCCAGAAGGACTGGCACAAAATATTCCAAGTAATGAAAAGCAAGGACCTACAACCA